AGACCAACAGTACACAAAACACAACATAGAAAACTAAGGAATGGTCAATAAGAACCTAAGCAAAATCTCGGATCGATCTAAAGTGCTCCGGGAGGGTAGGCGGATCCTGCTCCACATGTGCCACCCGTCGTGTTGCTCATGTAAGTACAAACTCTGTGATTAATCTATTCTGTAGGTCACATCCAGGGAAAATGGGACGGGCTTGTAATATCGACATTTGGAACTTATCATATGTGAAACATTTATTCAATAGCGGTCAACCAACTCAGTGGTTGTCGTTTGTTTATGTATTACATATTTGTTTTTCGTTCATATTTGTACATAAATTAGGCCGTTAGTTTTTGTCGTTTGAATTGTTTTACATTGTCATTTCGGGGCCTTTTATAGCTGACTGTGCAGTATGGGTTTTGCTCATTGTTGAAGGCCGTACGGTGAACTATAGTTGTTAATTTCTGTGTCATTTGGTCTCTTGTGGAGAGTTGTCTCATTGGCAATCATACCACAACTTCTTTTTTATATCAACTGGGTGATATCTACTCTGTATGCAGTCGCTGTTTGAATGTTTCTACAAAGAAATAGAAAGTTCACAATTGGGATGATGAAATAATCTCTTTTATCGTAAAATTTTGTTTTTGTCTACTGCAAGATGTAAGTCATGATATGAGGCAGACTTAACTGTATCTGTTGTATCCTTTATCTCAAGCTCGATGGAGTATATGCCTTCAACAAAGTCACCAAATGGAAATAGACGAGTACTTACAACAAACGTTGTGTTATATCTGCAGGCTGTAAATATTTTCGACAAAGCTGAGTATACATGTATTGAGTTATAAAAGTTCTGTACAAGGTATGCCTTAGAGGGTAAATTACATGTCTCCGTTGTAGGCAATGCTGTTTCCGCTTTGTGTAACACTACCACACAAAATGACTTAAAATAGTTTTTCAATATATACATAGATCTTGTGTTTTGCGTTTTAGTGATGCAATCTAAAAAAACAAACTAACACTAGTCGAGCATCCAAAATAATAAATGAACCTTTCGATTTTTTTCTTGTTAGATACTTATAAGATTCCAAAAAGAATAAACAAAACACAACTAGATAGGTTTTCGTTACAGTAAATAATACTATTCCCGATTTTATTTCAGCAGTTACAAATCAAATTTCAAAAGTAAATTTTAGGATGAACCTGTTTTGCACAGTTATGACTCCACAACAATCTTTAAGTTGTTCTTGAAATTAATTTCGTCATAGATTTATTAACATGTCAATTGCACTAGCATTACGTTAACAAAACATAGTTTGATTTAATAGCTGATTGGATACTAATAGTGATTTTGTACCTTTTACATGTTTTAATAATTGATATATTCAATATTGTGTCAGTTGTTTATCTACATCCATGAAACCAAACTGTGACACATTGCTGTTAATTCGTGTCAGATAGCAGTCTGCAGGAATATAATTAGTCCAATAATATAAGTCCTCGTAGGTTCATATCGTTTGCTTTCAACGTTTTCATCGGGCATTCTTTAAACCTTTAAACTTTCAATGGTGAACCACAAAGTATAATTGAAATCCCCAATTCGTAAGTTCTTGTATGATCCCTTTTCTAGTAGCAAATTTACAACGATTTTTTTGGGGGGGGGGAACAGTCTTAAGTTTACTTTTGTAATTTATTATTATAGGTTAGCGACGAAAATGAAAAAAAGACGTTTTACCTTTTCTCATGGTGGAGGTATATCCCTTTTCAGAAACACCTTTCTAACTATTTCCCCTTTTTTAGATAACTGATTTTAATGACTAAGTGAGCGAGGCAATTATTAATTATTTCTTTATACTAATTATAAGTGGGCGACCATATAATATTAATAAAAATGGGTAGGATGATTATAGAAATAAATATTCATTCATATGATGAAGACATAATCTTTCAATCAGTTTAATTGAAGTCTGGAGCTGGCATGTCAGTTAACTGCTAGTAGTCTGTTGTTATTTATGTATTATTGTCATTTTGTTTATTTTCTTTGGTTACATCTTCTGACATCAGACTCGGACTTCTCTTGAACTGAATTTGAATGTGCGTATTGTTATGCGTTTACTTTTCTACATTGGCTAGAGGTATAGGGGGAGGGTTGAGATCTCATAAACATGTTTAACCCCGCCGCATTTTTGCGCCTGTCCCAAGTCAGGAGCCTCTAGCCTTTGTTAGTCTTGTATTATTTTTAATTTTAGTTTCTTGTGTACAATTTAGAGTTTAGTATGGCGTTCATTATCACTGAACTAGTATATATATTTGTTTAGGGGCCAGCTGAAGGACGTCTCCGGGTGCGGGAATTTCTCGCTGCATTGAAGACCTATTGGTGACCTTCTGCTGTTGTCTGTTTTATGGTCGGGTTGTTGTCTCTTTGACACATTCCGCATTTCCATTCTCAATTTTATTCTGTCCTGATAGTTATAGGAATCATATAATAATTTGATGTGCTTCCCTCGGTTTAAGTTTGTAACACAGATTTGTTTTCTCTAACTCGATTTATGACATTTGAACAGCGGTATATTACTGTTGCCGTTATTTACCTTAGACAGGTATAAAAAAGTAGCAGTCCAATGAAAATACAGATTAATGCTGCAATAGAATCGATTTTGTGATTGTAAAACACATCAGACATACCTGGCTTAGAATGTGGTACGATTAAAAGTGAAATAACTAAAATACCGAACTCCGAGGAAAATTCAAAAAGGGAAAGTCCCCAATAAAATGGCAAAATGAAACTCTCAAACACATCAAACGAATGGATTACAACTGTCATATTCCTGACTTGGTACAGTCATTTTCTTATGTCGAAAATGATGGATTAAACCTGGTTTTATAGCTAGCTAAACCTCTCGCTTGTATGACAGTCGCATAAAATTCCATTATATTGACAACGATGTGTAAACAAAACAAACAGACATAATAGGTAAAAATATAAAAAAAAAATGTGGCACGTTAGTCAACATTGTGTTATAATCTTAATCACTTAATGATTGTTTGGGGTCATGCATCGCTCTATTGATCATTTGTATATAATTCATTAGGAGACGATGTAAAATACTTAATTAATAGTATTCTCCCTTTTGTTTACATCCTTCTTTCGCATATTTCCAAAATGGAAGTGCACATGCACCGATGAAAATTCCAACAATATAGTATTACTTTATAAAGTTATGAAATTGCAGTTTTGAATTATTCAACTCTTTCTTAATGTATTTAGATAAAATTGATTATTCATATAATAAAAATGTATTGTAATTGCTAATTGCGAAAAGGAGCGTGACTTACGAAATCATTGCGCGAAAATTCAAACCCCCAACTACATTAACATTACCAATCGCCCATAGTAGAAGTAGAATAACAGTTGATTTTTTTTTGTTAAGTGTACAAATACAGCAAATTTATATGACTACAAATATTATCTGAAAAAAAGTTTGTTGATTGCAGCATAAAATAATAGTTTTATCAGTATCGTAGACAGCACATGTTTCATGTTTTAAAAAATATTGAACTTATAGAATTGTTTTTATTAGATTAAAAACTGAAAGACAATTTGATAGTAAACCAAAAGAAATTACATACACAACAACATGATGTTTACTGTCAATGGTTAAGATTAAGAAAGGAAATTGTATATTGCTTTCTAAACTAGTGACTGTCACAATTTCTAATAAAGATTTAAAAAAATGTGTAAACTAATATTTGGTAATTTAGAGCTCTTATAAGACAAAATTTTGTCTCTCTTTTTGCTAGGACTTTATCTTTCATATTAACCTAAATATACAATTTTCCATAACATTAACGGTGCCATCTTTACTGCACCAGATGCACATTTCATTGTGTGCATTTTGATTTTCTACTTACAAGTTATAGATTCAAAATAATAAGCAAAATCTCACACTCAAACATCGTCATTCATTTAAGTAAAATAGTTTCAGTCATCTGAATTTTTAGGCGATCTAATATTGATGATCATTTTTACTGATGAAATATTTTAACCATTAATTATAGTCTCTTTTTTTAAGATGAAATGCCTTAATTATCAAGTTTAGGAAGACGACGAACGGCAATAACCGACAGGTGATAAAGAAAGGTGAAGTAAAGGCAACAAAAGTATACCGGTGTTCAAAAGTCATAAATCGATTGAGAGAAAACAAATCCGGGTTACAAACTAAAACCGAGGGAAACACATCAACTATAAGAGGAAAACAAAGGAACAACATGAACACTCAAGTGCAACAAAAACAAACGCCAACATACATAGAAACGAACTATTTGATAACAACTGCCATGTTCCTGACTTGGTACGGGGCATTTCAAGAAAAAATGGTAGGTTGAACCGGGTTGAAGGGCTAGCCAAACCTCCTTCTTTATGACAATGTTAAACAATTTCGCTAAAATGACAACACTACGTGACAGAAATACAGCACAAGCACACGCAAGAACATTCATCACAGAGAAACGCACAAACAAACAATGTAATAGTCGACACAACATGCAAACCGCAGATCAACAACGAACATATTCCATCAAAAACAAACACCACAAGATATCAAAAACAGTGACGCGCTTACGTAATTAACATGCTATCTAGATCTTTATTCAATTATTTTCACAATACTCGTCTAAACAATTTTCATGACAATGATGTTATGGAAAGGCAATTTTATAATTGTTTGGACTACAAACTATAAGACATAACAGATTATCCAACGAAAACCATAACAGAAACATCAAAAATAAATACATGAATGTTGAATGTACAAAATACACGTCGTATAACAATGCAAATCCACACTCAGTATAAGTGAGAAAGACGAAATAATGGTCAACAGCACAACTTTAATGTCGAGACTGTAGTTTGGAGTGTAGTAACACCAATATGGACTCAACATTAAATTCGATTCATAAGAATAATTAGTGTTTCTGTTTGATACGCAATAAACAAAACACGCACAAACATCAAGGTCGTCATAAAATCGGTTTAATACGTGAATTTGCAATACAAATTGAACATTCAGTATATATATTCATGCAAAATCTACTACAGGGGCATACAGTTTGAGGCAAATAAAGACCATTTTCTTTTCTATCATCAATAAGTATATATGACACTAACTCGTAAAGCGTTTTGATGTACGAGAGGAAAAGTGGCACGACGATGTTGCATTAAGAATACGCTGCATCGTCATTTAGTGCCAAAAAAAGGAAAACAGAATCTTCAGCGTAAAATATATGCTTTTTAATGGAACCGACTTCGTACCACTTCGAGAATGTTATATCGAAATTGCAAGAAAAAATCAACAGTATATTTTTTTCTAAATGCTTTTGTATTAGCAAGAAAATCGTCTACGGCTATTTATTACAAATACAAAATTTTATTGTATGATTTAAAAACAAAATTATCGAATTAAACGTACATTTGATGAACTGGCTGAAGGCCTATAAATTAGGGAACACAAAACCGGAAAAAAATATATCGTTCCGTTAGAAAGTTGTGTTATTTTTTTTCTCGGAGAGTACTGAGAACAGAAATTTCCCGTGTTTAAATGAAACAAGTTAGGCACGTTCAAAATATCTCGAAAAGTGAGTCATGATGGTATATTTTGCTTTCTCTAATTCTTATACGAAACATCCTTTTCCTGACCTGTTGATTATATTTATTCAATCAACGTGTGGTTTGTTTGATCTTAGTTCTTTATTGGTCATAATTTGATTATGACGTCAAATTTTCTTGCTATCCTCTGAATTTCCTATTGTGACGTCATGAAAATAGCGACCATGCCTGATGACGCAACATCGAAAGAACACATCTTTTTTTGTAGATCATTCAAAAGGTAGGATTTAATTTGTCTGCATACCGTTTAAAAATCATTAGAGAAACAGATTCCACAACCAAATCTTGCGCAATACGATATTTATCCACTCTCGACAGTTAAATTTAAATATTTAAAACGCTCGGCTAGCCTCGCGTTTGAATTTGAAAATTTGACTGTCTTGAGTGGATAAATGTCGTATCACCCTCGATATAGTGGTGGAATCTATATTTACATATTTTAATAGTTCATGTCAAAGTTTAAGGGGGAATAAAAAATAGACAACTGCTTTCATTGTGTAACTGAAATAAAAGTTAAGTAATTTGAAAAAAGGAAAATAACATTATCATTTTACATTTTTCCAAATTTCCTGCCTACACTTTTCATTTCCGAGAATATATCCTACTATCAATTTGTAATAATTGGCGTACATTATGTTTTGTGAAAATGTAAAACAGTATTTTATATTTAGTCCTATTCAATATTCGTTTAAATAAAAACAAGGATTACGTTGAGGACTATATATAAACAGAATTGGCCACGAAAGAAAGGCGAAAGATACATAACAACAGTACATCTAAGCACAACATGGAAAACTAAAGACTGAAGTACAAACAATCAGGTGCTGTTGAAGAGTTACCAGTTTCTTCTCCACATGTGGCACCTGTCGTGTTGCTCATTTAAGTACTACATCGGGGATAAGTCTGATTCGATAGGTCAAATTCAAGGAACAGAGGACGGATGTGGTTACGACAATGGAACATATCATTTGTCAACTGTAAAACAGTGATTTTACAGCAGTCAACCAACTCATGTCCGTAAAATTTGGACTGACCATTCATGTATCACTCAATCAAAACTTATAAAAAGCCTCGTATCACCAGAAGCTGCAATAAAACGCATGAAATTACTTAATTGGAAAATAAACACGTGAAATTTAAATTTGAAGAAATACAAATTTGAACGCTGCACAAATATACCTTTAAAACTTTTGTCAGATTCAAGGATCTACAATAAATATTGTTTATTTAAAATTTATTTAAAATGTTGAGATGAATGTTTTTGGTTTTTTTGTGTGTGTGTACATTAGAACCAATACATGTTCTAAGGTGGTCTTATAACCTGTTCTAGTTCTTTTTAGATTCGTGTGGTGTCTTCAGAAAAAAAGGTTTTAGACACCCCTCTCCTCATTTAATTTTTTTCCGTATAGTTCGGAACATCATTAGATAAGGAAATAAACAAATGAATGATCCACTATACTTACCTTTGCTTAATTTGCTGACAAATCTGAAGTATCTTTCAACCTGACATGAACAAAATGTGGTTTATTGGCGACAAATTAACCAGCTGTAGCACATTAAAGAATAATGCTTTTAGATTGTTTTAGATGAATTGGCAATAAATACAATTTCAATGAGTTTCATCTGATTTAAGTTAAGGAGATGTGGTATGATTGCCAATGAGTAAACTACCCAACGAAGTCCAAATGACGTAGATTTCAGCAAATATAGGTTACCGTACTACCTTGTATTTGGAAATTGTTTGTCACTTCGTCGATATTCTCTTTTTTTTTGTCGTGGTGTTATCAGTTTATCTCGAACAAAAAGTTTGAATGTCACTTTGGTATTTTCCGTCTCATTTAGTCATGTTTGTCATTTTCTCTGTATATTTAAACTAAAGCATAAAGAACATGAAGAACAAAAATAGAGATGGTAGAAATGTTGACACGGTTTGCAATGGGCATGTATGATAAAGCGATAACTTTTTGGTGCGGACATTTTGTACAGGTTACAATTAAAAGAATTAAAAGTAAATGTTCTTGACATCTTGATTTTGAATTGATTGATTGATTGCTTGGTGTTTTTAGCCACTTTAATCGCTATCGTAATTTTTCGTGGCGGTCAGTTTTTATTGGTGGAGGAAGCCGGAGTTCCAGGTGAGAACCACCGACCTTTGGTAGGAAAACTGACAACCCTAGTCAATCACGGTCGGAGTCGAGTTTACATGCCCCGTGAAGCATTCGAGTTCACATCCTCAGTGTTTACAGGATAGTGATACAGTATTTTGACTACTACTGTACACAGATATGCAAAGAACACACTTCTGTACACCAAAAATGAATAGTAAATTGACAACAGGTGTACACATCCAGAATCACACATGCAGCTGCACATATGATCATATGTCGTATTTAAATGATGTGCATAGTTTTGAGTCCAAATTAGAAAATAGAAATAGTGCAGCTCATACAGTAAACCATTGCATATATTTCCTGAAAAAAATAATAACTCTTTTAGCATTCAATAGTTACAAAAAACAATATACCAAAATAGAAGCAAAAAAGTATGAGGATAACAAACCATCACGATTTAATTCTGACAAATGCAACACATATACATGTAGTACTGATAAAAAATGTACATATTTATGTAAATTACTCATTATGTTAATCTACTGTAAACTTTGTAAATATAACTTTTGTATAATATATTCATGTTAATATTTTTCTCAACAGAAGCATTGCAATTTATGTATATTTTTTGTTTTGAGTAAAATGTATTTCTCAATTATTGTATTCACAAGCTGTGTGTGGTATACGTTTGTCACAGCTCAGTTTGTAAACAAAGTCACGTTGTTGACCCAAATAATGACCCGTAAGGCGAGGTCATTCTGTGTAAAAATTGTATGCATTGTTCACTTGAAAACAACACTGTGTAATATTTTTTTACATAATACCGTTACGTTATATATTAATGATACTGAATATCTAAATTATGTGATAAAATGTGAACACTATTTAATATGTTTTTATATAGGATCACTACGTATAGTAAAACATTGTGCACTATGTAGAAAATATATTTATTTCTATTCCGTTATATTTGGAATTTCCCTATTCTATATCTATCTTTAGACTTGTGGTACAAGTTTGGCTAGTATGTAAATCAGAAGTGGTCTGATGTTACTGTTGTTTTCTGCACGAATATTTCGAGGGCGGTAGTACGGGTGGGGTTTTATAGGCATATATAAGTCCTGATTACGTTTGATTATTATCGATGTGCTCCAGTAACTTTGATAGACGAAGTTAACGTTAAGCTCTGCATAATATATTACAGTTATGTTTGTATTGATATGTATTTAGAGGACATTGTGAATGTATATAGATGGAATTGTGGTATATTTTTGTAATTTGTAAAATGTTTACAAGATATTAAATGTTGTTTCGCTGAGAAAATAAGAAAGTTACTGCGAGCAAACAAACCTAAATTATGACTTGTCTCTTATTTAGCCATGTATTTAGTATAGAAATGTTTTAAATTCGGACGAATTCATGAGGGAGAATTTAAAGAGAATACATTGTTAGAAACACAACAAAACAGCCGTGAAACAGTAGCAGAAGGCACAAAATCGATAATTGATACTATAAATAGATGGGGGTTTCCCAATCATAAAGCTAAATTAATTCTTACCTATTAATAATAACAATCATGGCTGATCCAAAACTTCACATCTGTACAGTCAATTCTAAGGGACTACAGCAAACTGAAAAAAGAAAACGACTAATTGAATGGACAAAACAACAAAAATGTGATATCCTTCTAATACAAGAAACACATTTTACTGACAGCTTAGAAGAATCTTTAAAAAAAGAATTTGAAGGGGAATTGTTCTTCAGTAATGGTCAGAGCAATGCAAGAGGGGTATCCATATGGTTAAAAAGTAGGCTTAATTACAAATTTATTGACTATTATAAGGATAAAAACGGGAGACTTCTTCTGATAAATATAGAAATTGATGAAAGCATACTTACAATTGCAAACGTTTATGCACCAAATAACAATAAACTAAGAAACACTTTTTTTAAATCAGTTAAAACTTTTATAGACAGATATAGTCTTGGACAATTTATAATAGGAGGAGATTTTAACGATATCTTATCTAAAAAAGATACAAAAAATAAAAATAAAAGAACAAAATTTGATAAACCAGTATCCGGACTTAAAACTTTAATTAAATCTCTTAAATTAACAGATATATAGCGTGAAAAAAACCGAGATAAAACTCATTTCACCTGGTGTAAAGGAAATAAAACAGAAGCCACAAGAATTGACTACATCCTTGTTAGTACTGAAGTTAAAAAAAATTGCTCCTCTTGTGATATTAGAACAATTGTTATTCAATACACTGACCAGAATAGTGTATATTTAAAATTACAAATGTCAAGAAATAATAAAGGACGTGGCTACTGGAAATTAAATAGCAGTGTTTTAGACAATGAAATTTACCTTAAAATAATATACAATCTCATTAACAACTATAAAATTAAAGCAAATGATTCCAAAAATCTAGCTATTTTATGGGACAGTTTTAAAATAGAGGTTCGAGATTGTACAATTCAGTTCTGTAAATTGAAAGCCCTAAACAAAAAAGATTCAATCAATGTATTAGAAAATCAACTAATACAACTAAATAATGAAATTCATACAAATAACATCAGAGTTAATGAAACAAATACCTACCTGATTGAAAAAATAGAGAAAGTATAACAAGAATTAGGTAATCTGTACAATGAAAAAATAAAAGGCAATCAAATAGGATCAAGGGTAAAATGGATTGAAGAGGGAGAAAAAAATACCTCCTACTTCTTAGGTCTTGAAAAAGCCAGGCAGTGCAAAAAACCATTACTAGATTATATGATGTAAACAATAATAAAATTACTGATCAAGAAAAAATACTTGACCTTGAAGTTAACTATTATAAAGATTTGTATTCCTCATTAATCCAGATGTTGAAGATACCAAAAAGTACTTAAACGATATTAAAAAATGTCGAAAATTAAGTGATAGTGAAAGTAATTTATGTGAAGGAAAAATCACAGTGCAGGAATGTACAGATGCCATATTCAAAATGAAACTAAATAAAGCTCCAGGTTTAGATGGACTTAATGTTGAATTTTACAAAAAATTCTGGGAAAAAAATAAAAGAATTAATTGTATCTGTATTAAATTTTTGCCATGAAAAAGGAGAATTGTCAAATTCACAAAAAGTTTGGGCAATATCATTTATATATAAAAAAGAAGATCCACTTTCTTTAAATAATTATCGTCCAATAACTCTGTTAAATTATGATGTAAAATTGTTAGCGTATGCACTTGCTCAAAGATTAAAACTAGTATTACCAAAAATAATTCATACTGACCAAAAAGGTTACATAAAAAATAGATACATAGGCTTCACTATTAGGCAAATACAAGATATTATTGATTACTCAGAGAACTTTAAAGTAGATGGAGCTATACTTTTTTGTTGATTTTTCAAAGGCATTTGACTCCCTTGAATGGAACTTTATGTCAGAAACCTTGGAAAAATTTGGCTTCAAAAGTAGTTTTATAAGATGGATTCAAACAATGTACACAGACATAAAAGGCTGTATACTCAACAATGGTTGGGTGTCCAGCAGTTTTAATATTTTTCGCGGAATTCGACAAGGATGTACAATTTCTTCGTTAGCCTTCGTATTGGTAGTTGAAATTATGGCAATTAAACAAAGACAAAATAATAGCCTCAAGGGTTTACAGGTGAAATTAGATGGTAAAAACTGCTCACTGAAAATATGTCAACTCGCAGATGATACAACCCTATTTCTCAAATCACCAAAAGATGTTAGTTTAGCAATGAATATAATTGAAACTTTTGGAAGCTTCTCAGGATTACAGTTAAACAGAAATAAAACAGAGGGATTTTGGTTAGGAAAAGTCAAACATAGTAGAGACAAATTTGAAAACATAAATTTGAAAACAGATAACATTAAAAGTCTTGGCTTTTACTTTGGTTATAACAATCAAACCTGTCAAAAACTAACACTGATAAACAGCTAAAAAATGTGAAAAGATACTATCAAACTAGATGTAAAGAAACTTAACACTAATAGGTAAAATAATAGTAGTAAAATCATTAATTCTTTCAAATTTAACTTATATTGCATCAAACATGTACATACCAAAGGAAATTATACAAAAGTTTAAAGTCTATAATGGAATGGGAAAACAGATAGAGTTAAACGTGCAACCCTTTGTAAAGACTATTTGGAAGGTGGGTTAAAAATGATCGACATAGACTTGTATCTCAAAGCCCTTCAATTACGGTGGATTTTAAAACTTAAACAAAACTCTGGCGATAATTGGTCAATCATACCCCAAGTTTACCTAAACAAATTTGGTAAGAACCTTTTGATATTCCAAATGAACATTAAAAATGTTAATATGTTAGACAAAAAATCATTTAAATCCATCCCTGAGTTCTATCAGCAATTGATAAAAACTTAAATTAATGTAAAGGGTGGACAAACAAAGATTCCACAAACTTTTCTGGATATAAGAAAGCAGATGTTATGGGGCAATCATAATATACAAACAAAAGGAAAACACTTATTGTTTACTAAATGGATTGAACATACTATTCTGTATGTTAATGACATACTAGATGAAAGAGGTTATATATCAGAAAATAAAATATTACTTAAACTAAAAGATAAACGAGATTGGATAAGAGAATTATCCTTAATAAAGAAAGCTATTCCAAAACATTGGCAGAATATTTTAAAGCAAGAAAGCTCATTTAAAACAAAAGTACATATAAAGATACCAAAAATCTGCAGATACTACTCAATCATAATATCTATCCTGAAATGAGTAATAAAGAAATATATTCAATATTATTTGCCCCTCATAAACAAGAAAAACCTGTAGGATATCTTAAGTGGGAAAGAATTTTCAAAGAAAATCTTAACATAAAATTTAAAAGCACTCTTAATTTTATATTTAAATACCTAGATAACAACAAATTTAAAATGTTTAAATGGAAATTACTCCATTTCATCCTTCTATGCAATGAATTATTAGTTCAGTGGAAAGTATTAGAAAACAGTTCATGCAATTTCTGCAAAGAAATTGAAAACTATAAACATTTTTTCATAACATACCCTTATAATACTAAATACTGGCAAGAAATATATAAACTACTACTTTATCTTCAAATAAACAGACACATTCTAAGGATAGAAAATTTAATAACTGGCTATAACATATCAGATGTTAAATATTTTGATATAAACACCCTTATAACAGTTATATTTTTCTTTATATATAAAGCATATTTTATTTCAAATAAAAAAGAAACAAAGATAGATATCTTCAAAATTTTCAAAACGGAAATATACGACATTATAAAATTAAATGCGATAAGAAATATCGAAACCGGAAAAATGTTATTAAAGACATCGACGTATTGTAACTTGTAAGTGATATCTGTAAGTAATGAGTATGTTTGACAAATCAACACATGCTACTTCCAGTCTATAAATAATATACCACGAAGTGCCAAAAAAAAAATGCATCGTAAATAACCTATTGATTTGTATTTAACATAACTATATATACCTACCTATATATGTATTTCCATTAACATGATCAAGCATGTAAGTTTGAAAAATAAATCCTTCAAATTATAAAAGAATAAGTAAATTCCATATTACACAGGTATCCTGTGAGAAAGTAAACACACATAATAATCACGAAACGTAACGGTGAAGATCCGTTATTTTTCCGATTTGTAAGCAGACAAAAAAATCAATGAATCAATTTATATTGATGTTTATTTATATTATGTATTATGTTTAATTGTATAATACTAACATTTATATATATTTTATTATATATTCTCCCTGGATATACATGATATATAATAATTCTAAATACACAGGGAAACTTAGCCCAATGCTGTAAGCTAAGTAAATTGTTTAAAAAACAGCATTTAGTGCAATAAAGATGATTTAATTGTTAAAAAAAAAAAAAAAAAAAATATTTTGACTACTTACACCACTCGACCACCGAGGCTCCTTTTTAATCTTTGAATGAACAATTGTATATTATTTGACATGAAACGGCAATTTAAGATATATATCCTTAAAACGAATGACTTTTTCTAAATTTTTTTCGAATTTTTATAATAGAGTCTTTGGGATATATATATTAATTTCGGTCAATTATGTCTTTGACATTATGAACTAAATATACATTAATTTTCATCGTTCTGAATCTGACATGCACATGTAATAAAGGTGCTTTGTTATCAGTACAGTTGTTGTCGGCCTTTTTGTCACTAACTTTTTCATATATATTCTTAAGTTTTTTAATCCCTGACATAAACACATGTATGAACTTAAAATGAACTAATTTGTTTTATTTTTTGTATCCTGTTGTTTCAGATGAAGGTTGGGGAAATCAGCATCATTTCTGTATCCTGTTGTTTTTGAGAAGAGAAAATTATTTTCCGCATAGATCCTGTAGCTGAGTGCTTTATTGATATTAAAATTTGTAAGTGATCATACAAAACAAAGGTTATTGTTCTATTTTATGGACGAATAGGAAAACCCTATATTTAAGAAGCTCAAGCAATTTCATTCATTCACCTTTTTCAAACACATTAAAAGTCAAGTTACTGCCATATATAAAGATACCGCCAATGAAACAACTATCCAACGACACGACGAATTTAAAGAAGGAAACTGTCAGCATAGTACCATCTTCAAAAGTATACAGATGTTTATACATAATGCCGACCTCTAAATTGCTGAAAGTCGATCTGAAAAAGTTGATTATATATCAAGCAAAGATTATCAAAGACGTGCAATCAAAACACAATTTCTAAAAATAAAAATCACATGTGAACTTGAAAAATATAACAATTAACTAACTTACTTAAGATAGACACATACATAAGTGGTTGGATTTCTTTTAATATATCAAAGACTCCCCTTCTGATCTAGACAATTAGACAAACAACAAGTTCATAAACGAGCATACAATAAAACTATACTGGAAAATATCCAACAAAGATAATAAAGAATATGACGAGAATTATAGATTACAAAAGTAAAAATTTAACAATAACAATTAATAACGTACATTCCTGTTTGAATGGTTTTACATTAATTTAGTCATGTTGGGCCCTTTATAGCTTGCTGTTCGGTGTGAGCCAAGGCTCCGTGTTGAAGGCCGTACTTTGACCTATAATGGTTTACTTTTACAATTTGTGACTTGGATGGCGAGTTGTCTCATTGGTACTCATATACCACATCTTCTTATATCTATGTACTGAAGAATGATTTTAATTACTGTAAGCAAGCTATTTTTTTTAATACTTATGAATATACAATATAGAATTATTCCCGAGAAAAAGAGAAAACATACGTAGTTATGTGTTCTTGTTTAAAAGATTTAAAAAAAGGCCTAGTAATGTTTCACAAGATCATATTGTTTTAATTCATTATTGAACTTAATCATTTTTCGAAGAATAGTTTCTGAAAGTTAACAAAAGCAAATCAAAAGCAACCCTTTTCAACAAAGAAGAGAATGTATACATTTAAAAGCTTTTGTCGATTTGCTATGACATATGTGAAATCAAATAAATTATATTATTCAACCTGTTGTAACAACAGACACTTGGAAAAGGACATTAACAGAAATGTATTAAAAATCATATTCTTACAAGGAAGTACAACACTTTACCCTAACATATAACAAAACATATGAGACCCTAAAAGGTAATACACCACCATATTAAACATATACAGACAACACCATATTCGAAAATATACTGTGGTTATACAGATAACATACTCAAATAAATACAGACACCATACGTAAACAAATGCAGATAGCATACCTAAACCTAAAAAGGAGCATAAAGAACCTGAACAAAGACTTACAATACCATACTCAAGCATAACAGACAACATTTTGCTCAAACATGTAAAGAAGCTTGAGAAACCGAACAAATACAGACAACACAACTCAAAGGGATAATGAAACATATAACAACTCGATAAAGGACAGACAACACACTACTCAAACATATAATGAAACATGTGGCAATTCGATCAAGGACAGACCACATAATACTGAAACAGATAAGGAAAAATATAGCAACTCGATCAAGGACAGACAACACACAACTCAAACATGTAAAGAAAAATATAACAACTCGAACAGGAACAGACAACACCATACTCCGTCATATAAAGAAACATTATAACAAACATTGACTGACAAGCACCGTTATCAAAAAATATATATACCAAAAAAACAAAACAAAAAAAAAACAGAAATTCAAATAAGGACACAAAACATTATAATTTAACGTAAAAAACCCATTACAAACTCATAGAAAAACAACAGCACTATAACCAAACATATAAGAATACTTATGTTCGAAGTTGCCATGATTAAACATGCTAAACGAACATAAATTATTTATACAATAAAACTCAACACATGTATCAGAAATGTACGGACGCGTATATTAACCAACATTTCAAAATTCCAAAACTAGAAAAATGAGCAGCTCATGAGACGTCCTAAATATGCATGGCATATTTTCCACTTGATTTACCATTGTTTAAACTAGACAAAGTAAGTGGCTTGGTTTTGGGAAAACAAACAGGCCTTTAAAACCAACCATAAAACAAGAGATGATAAATGTCCTCAAGTCCGACGATCCTGAGACAGTGTGGCGGAAACTAAATCATGGAATATGGGAAAACAATATTTTTCTTCTCTCAACATGCATGTTCTTTCCGAGTGAAAGTCTTCATTATTAAATGCTAATCCATATCATAAATTAAGAACAAGACCAATTTCTGAATATTAATTGCCAAAATGTGTGGATGACGCTTTAATAATTAGTGCCCATGTCTCCTCCTTCTAAAATTGTATTAACTGTGTATGAATACTAATATAAACATTTAAACACTTAGAAAAAGTCGAAATATCGAAATTTCAAAAGTCAAGATTTCATTTGAAAACTCGCAATTTTGAGGTTTTTTTTTAAAAAAAGACTTCCAGCTTAAATCAAAATTTCCAGATTTTAAAAGTTGACATTTTGAGTTAAATCAAAATTGCGAGATTAAAGTCGAAATTTGGACTTTTATAAAAAAGGTAATTTCGAGTTCGACTTTTTAAAAGTTGCAATTTCAATATTCAAAAAAGTCAAAATTTAAAGTTAAAGTCAAAATTTCTAGATTTGAAAAGTAAATATTCGAAAGTCGAAATTTACAGATTTGAAATGTCAAAATTTCTACTTTGAGTAAAAAGTTTAATGCTAATCTTATTTTTACTTTGTCCCTATAATACGCTTCCGTAGAAATGAGCTCTCATTGTGACAAAAGCATACTTTTGATATTTCTCAAAAATCAGTTCAATTTTCTCCACGATTTCCTTAAAGCAACGAATAGCTCTCAGTCAGTATGTTTAAGGGTAATTTAGCTACGTGATACAATGTACAAAAAAAATATAAATAAAACAAAAATAAAAAATATTTTTTAGGTTAAATCATTAATAAATTTTCTAAGTGAAATATTGAAATCTTAATTCGTTTAAGCAGCCAGTCCTATTCAATTTTGTCAAAATCAGGTAAAAAGCATCGCTGATGAATAATTCGACCTCATTGAATCCGTATTCATGTGACGTTCAATTAAACCCCTTAGCTGAGATGGTTTACGCAGAAGAAGAAGAAAAAAATGTCAAGATTAAAAGTAAAACAAAAAATGAACCATTTAGTTGGCTGATTTAAAAAAAAAAAAAAAACCACACGAAATACTAATACATATTATCGAGTCCATGCATTGTTAATTGTCAATTTTAGACTTTTTGTAATTTAGATATTCGTTTTAGTATATGTTATTACTTAGATTTGAGTCGGTTAACATGTATTTGACAGCTAATGCCCCTTTACACGGAAATACGTATATAGACTCAACCACAGCCTTTCAGTCAAACATAATTATACATCAAGCTACAAAATAAGAAATATACTATTTATATTGAGCATTCTTAATAGCCCTTACTTTTAACACAATAACAGACGACTGTCGAGATGATTGGAGTGTGTGTGGAGGGTGGGGGGATTTGGTGTTTATTAAAATCAAGTCAGTTGTAAGCAGTGTGCTACTCAGCTAAAGGCAGAACTTTGAATTATTACATTATATATTTTATTAAGTTTATATGAAACAGCAAGCACGAAAAACACGAGCCAAATCCTACATAAGCTAGAATACCTACAATGCGACAAATTACACCCAATGAAAACCATTATAAACATTTTAGGTATTTTAAAACGTTTGTTGATGTAGACAAACACAAGTGTTTTACCAAAACAAATATAGGTGCTTTCGTATTATAAATAAATATATAACAACAACCAGAACATGAACAACCAGTACTTTAGCCAAGTTATGAAACAACAGAACACAAACTAGAATAAGAAAAATACAACATCATCAAACGTTAAGAAAAACAACAAAAGACATTTGACTTTTAATTTGGTAAAAACTAAATACGTGACCAAGATTTTTGTTGTTGTGTTTTGTCACGTTGGTATCTTAATTTGCGTTGTTTAAGAGGGGGAAAAATACAAACATTGTTTCCTACAAGCTTCCTCGCCGGTTGTTTTATTACATGTGGTATGTCGTACTAATGTATATAACAAACCGGAGCCCTTCTGCGTATAATCTGTACTACTGAATACATCGCTGTGTAGAAGAGGTAAGAACTTATCCGTAAAAATAGTATACGTGTACGCTTTTCCCTTTTTTATTCTGTTTTTTTTTTTTTTTTTATTTTTCCATTTTGAACATGAAATGACTTAAATGTGTAATTGTATGGCGTTACATGCAAACTTAATGTACACACTACTCATTGATGCCTGGTTTGACTAAGTTTGATTATAAAATAAATGAAACAATTATATACTGACTTTTACTGACTTTTCAGTGACACAGTGTACAAATTACTGTATAATATATTCATTTGAATTTACAAAAACAAATAAATAATGATCAGTCTATGATGTATATACGAAAGCAGCCTATGATTTACCTATTCGACCTTTTTTGATTAGGTCCCTAAGTATACAGACACGTACATTTTAATTTTAGAATGTCTGCCTTCAATATCGTAGCAAAGTTCCAACAGCAACACGATTGATAACTCCCGTGTCCGAAAGGTTTAGCCTACCTTTTTGGAGTACCCTTTTAAAAAGTAGGTTATAGTAGGCTGGTATGTCTTTGAAACAAAAACAAAATAAAAAAAAAGGACACGGCCTCATTTCATTTATTAGATTACGAGTTAATTGAAACAACTTGAACTATTCGGAAAATAAATCTATTGTAGTTGATCATTTTCCACATAACTTATTGAAGACCAAATAATTATTAATTCACAAATGTATCAATCTAATTAAAATTAGTTCTCCTCACTTGCTCCTCCTTTTCGTTCGGTTGTTTTATATGTGTCCGACGCGCGACATATAAAAAACCGAACGAAAATGAGGAGCAAGTGCGGAGGACTAATTTTAATTAGATTGCAAAAAATTGGAAACAACACTTTTAATAATTCCATGCGTCCGAAGCGCTTTTCTGGATTTACCTTCATCAGGAACGCTCAATGCCAAACATTTGAAATCCGAGGGATGTATAAGTACCGAAACAGTTGAAGAGCTATATGACAAAAATACCTAAAACAAATAGCCAAATTCATCTAGGGTCAACTTTGCCTGAGGGAGTATTGCTCTGCTATCACGAAAATAGATCTACGCAACATAATATTGTTATTAATTTGAAGCTGTTCTGGTCATGGCCAATACTCTATGAACGTGTTTTTTCTTGTTTTTCAGCTAACCAAATTGAGAAGTCTGTTTGTCTCTATTTTGGTATGTGTTGGTACCCACCAACTAGTACGTTCAGATGAGATTGGCCTGTGTGTGTCGTTAATTGAACAAGTTGCAGAAGTTAAAATACGTGTTCTCTTGATGCAGATTTAATTGATTTAAAGTAAGGCTAAGATATAATATAATAAATGTAATATGCTGGAAATGTATAAGCAGCTGATGGAATACTTTATGAATAGATATGTTTTAAGAAAATATCGATCTCGGCCATAGCATTCAATAACTAGCAAAATTCAAAATGACCTGTAAGTTCTTTATTTCAACGAATCTGTTTTTTTCCTCGCACTATTTACTTGAGAATTATATGCAGTAAACTCACTTGAACATATCTTGATCCTCAAAAAGCTTGGAAATCTCATGGTTAACATGGGTAATCAAATTTTGAAATACGGTTTATTTGTCAGGTTACCTTGGATGTTTTAAGGATATAGATAATGCTATGCTTCCATCAAGAACTGTCAAAGGTATTCCAGAATTAACTCTGAAGAAGTGCCAACAACAATGTCGGGATTACACATTTTTAGGACTGCAAGTAAGTTGAAATTATTATCCTATTTTTTATTTTCTATATGGATAATTTTTTTTTATGGGATAACACCCCTATACCTTGATTTTTTGCACTGAAAATGATTCGAATTTTTCTGCCAACGTTAGCACTAATTTAAGAAATAAGCATTTATTCCGTTGATACTTGTTTCAACAAAATTTTGAGATTTCTAGGTATTTTATCCATTTGTATAAATCTTGAATACCACTTCCTTGAAAATCGCAAATTTGTTTTGTTTTTTATTTGTAAAGTTTAGCTATCCTTTTAAAAGTGAATGCTGCTAATAAAAACGTATAATTAATATAACTATGCGATATGTTTTTTATTTCATTGTTCAAGGCCAATGATTGCATCCACTTCATTTCAACTGATATGAATAGTTGTCTTATTGGCAATCATGCCGCATCTCCTTATTGTTTTATTTAGATGATAAAAAAATTATGTAAATATAAAAAATAAGATGTGGTATGATTGCCAATGCGACAACTCTCCACAAGAGACCAAATGACACAGAAATTAACAACTATAGGTCACCGTATGTTGATGGATTTTTCTAGTTCTAGTGTCTGTTGGTTCTATCACTGTTGTAGGTACTGCCAAAATATGATGTACAGTTTAATACAACATCCCAAGTCAGGTTTTACTGAAGTCTGCGTTGGTGTAATTAAAGTAGACCAGTTTAATATACTGAGCATGCCTATAAAAGCCACGAGTATTATGAAAAAGGTTATAGGTTATCTAGATGGCCGTTTTTTGATCATCTCAAGTTAATTGCTGTGTTCGGGTTTTGTGGGGTTTCTAAACCAAGCAAGTGTACTTAGGCGTCGGAAAGAGAAGTAATAGGTATACCTGCAACCTAATGTTTGTGATTAATGTCTAACAGTTTTAAGGAAACCTAGGCTCTTGTTTGCATTTGTGGTGACATTATTTATCTATTGAGTCCATATAAAGTCAGATGGGCGAGTCATGACATGACATTTTGCCGAGGAAACACTTTCTTCTTCAATGCACTGAGGAAAATGTTGAGTTATTTTCATTTTCTTTCAATAACTATTGTGCTTGCTGCTTATTACACAATCTTTTATTTTCAAAAGCTTATATGTCCCATCCGTACACTCGTATTGCAGCGTTTGAAAATATATCACTCATACCGACAATAATTTAATCTTCAACAAAAACACAGATAACAAATAAAGGGGGGTCCATAATCTGAGCATATATGCATATCCCTTGCATTTGTCATGATATATGATCCTGTATCCAGGCTTACTTTCAGTTCTAGGCTGTAGTTTGATACTTTTATTTTCAAACACAGATTCTACTGAACAGATCATAGAAGTGAAACCTCTACCACGTGTGTGTCAGATCTAAAACACAAGCACACGATTTGTGATAGATCTGCATTTTAGTCAAATGTTAACCCATGCACTTGCATTCATTTATATCAATATTGATTTATTCTTGGCACGATAACTTATAGAATATCAGAAAATATACTAACAAAGGAACAAGTACAAGTTATAGGTTAAATATACTGTTATAAACTTAGTTTATAATTGCCTATTTAAGCCCCATGGCTTTCAACGTTGAGATCGAAGTGAAGTTTTGAGACAAATAATTCAGTATTATCATCAACATGTAAAGCAAGGGTTTAATAGAAACCTAAAAACTAAAGTCACATAAAAGATAAAAATGAAATAAAAATGAAACAGCAGATAATCATACTTAAATAACTCTCCTCAATATGGTTATTTGTAAATATGTAGTATGTTTGCATTGCTGGTGCTTACTGTAAAAAAATCAGAGGCCGTCACTAGCCATGACATTATTTGACCTTCGGCATTTTATATTTGATAATTTCAATTCAATAACAAACAGCTGACTTTTAGTCGAAAACATGAAAAGTGTCAGAGCTTTTGTCCTGCATTGTTCATATTTTACTCAAACATTTTATTCAACACTGCTTTTCATAGGAAATACAGGTAAATGTTTATAAACAAAATCTATTAAATCTTTGAAATTAAACATCGAGAGGCTGATACGAGTAAACCAAAATATATTGTCTTTTTTCGTCCCTCTTTTCTTCAAGGTGTCACTTAAAAAATTGGATTATGAAATGGAATGCGATATTTCTCTTATGGTAAAACATTCTTTTTTTGTTAAATAGAAAACACCAGGGATCATTGATCTAGTAGATACCAGTATCATGTCATATGTCATGATCCGGCGTCAAAATTTCAAATCGTATATTTTAAAACTGTGTTAACGCTTCAGAATGTAATACAGTTTTACAGAAATAAGATTTTCAGGTGTAAAGTGAAAAAAAGAAAAATGGATTTTTTTTTATAAAGTTTTGACAGCTTTCGGAAAGTTATGAGAATATAATTACAATGCACGTTCACTTCGAGTTTCGAAACACAACTGGTTTCCTGTTTATCATCTTTTATAAACAGTTAATATGTTATTCGTCTAAGTTTTGTGTTTATACTATATCATGTTATATTGATGTACTTGTACCATATTTCAGTCTTATTTATCCTATGCATTACAGCACAGATTAAATCATTCCTTCTGTATTGCGTGCCAATATAAACTGGCGATATACAGAGCACTACAGTATGTTAAACAGTAAATCTGTTCTGCCAAATATCTCATCAGATTCAAAGTATAAAATCTGGATTTTTTCACGAAAAGTTTAATTTCAGTATGGAGTTAAAGATGTTGCATGGAAGTACTCTTGTTCTAATCAATTTTTTTCTGAATGGATATGCTAGTGCGGATTCTTGCAAAAATGACAATTGTTCGTCTTCAATTGACATCCCGCTCATTTCAAAGCTTAATACACCGTTAAAGGCAGAATTAGATATAACTAGTTTAACCAAACAGCTGAGGGAACTAATACGAATGCAGATAAAAGTGGCTGTATATAAAGAGATGAAAGATCTCGTGGAAAATGTTCTAGATAAGAGGATACAAACTGCCCTGGACAGTTTCAGGAAATCATACAATCTTACACTATCAACTTTTAAACAGAAAATAGAAGGTAAGATCATTAACATATACATGTGATGTAGCATTTAACCGGTGTAATCTCTAAATAGTTTTAACAGGATGTTATTGTTCTTCTTTTTTTTTTAACAATTTGTGAAAGGGAGAATGAATTATTACTTGTACTTAAATGCAGTTAGTTCCATCTATATGATTAGCTACGTTGGATTTCATTTTATCTATGTATGCTATCTTTCGAATGATTAAACTTGGAATTCTAAGAACTTACTCTTATCAACCCGTAATCCCGTATATTCCCCAAACCAGAAACCTAACTTTTGTTATTCTTTAAGGAATAACGAACTGACACAAGAAATGGCAAACCAACTTGCTTTTTGGGTTAACACGTTTAAACAGATTTTACTGCGATTCGCATTAGCGATTTTCACATTTTATTCGTACATTGCCATAAAAGAAGATTAACCTTTGTTATGTATGCGTGTTTTAATATTCTCGTTAATTCTTTTAATCGAGTTAATCGCGAATTTAAGTATGTTAGAATGTTTGCAATATGAATATTACATTTTCTTACCTTAACCACAACTCTGAACTGTGAAGAGACTGGCATAACGTAGACACCTATTAAAGCATTTATAAACAGATGATGATGGAGGTTTTAAACAACCTTGACTAGCTATACAGTCCTCGCACGGTCGGTTATAAACTGAATTGAGGAGGGCTTAAATGTAAACTGATTTTACCATGGGTTGTCCCTTCATACTCAATGTTTTACGACGAGAGATAGCGTAGGTTAAATTTGACATCAATTTCAAACCCATGGTAAAGTCAGTATACGTCGAGGTCCCTATGAATTATTTTTGTTCTAAGAGGACAAATACGACATTTGTTTTCGAAATTTTCTAGGTGAAGGCAAATAACTGCTGTTTTTGTAATTAAACATACTATTGATATTGACGCAAAAAGACAGATGAGTTACATGGTAAAATCATTTAAAATCTCAGATTCATATTCGTGCATTTTCCCCTAATAAGCTTATATTTTTACGTCATTGTTCAGTTGCATCATTTACACCCATATATCAAAAGCAAATGACGTGGGAGTTACTCACAAACGCTCAAACAATCAATGACGTTGAGGATCAGCTGACATATCAATTTATTCATATTTTACCACGGCTGTGTAAACAAATCGTTTGGTTTCAATCCACCATTTGGAACATAGGAAAACGCCTGTACCAAGTCAGGAATACGACAGTTGTTATCCATTCGTTTGATGTGTTTGAGCTTTTGATATTGCCATTTGATTAGGTACTTTCCGTTTTGAATTTTCCTCGGAGTTCAGTACTATTGTGATTTTACTTTTAACGAATATCAAATAAGATCAAAACGTAGTATGACCTAAAGATTACCTTTGAATATTGTGTGCTAATGGTTGCTGTTTCAATTTAATGTTCTTGTGGATAACATAATGTTCCAAATGCATCGTAGCATGTACTGTCTTTTACAAAGAAACAAATACATTTTATATGAGTTCGTGTTGCTGATTTTGTTGGTTACCTAGATATAATAAGGCGCACTGCTGCTTGTTGTACTTTCTTTTCGGTGTGATGTTGTACAACCTTTCTCGGCCGCTTACGGTTTTATTCTTACTTACAATGTATCTACTGTACCTTTTTGTCAAGGAATATTTGAATCAATTAGTAAACTAGCTTTTCTTTCAGACGGGACTGCACAGATAGAGGAATCAGTCGCTGCTGTTTATAATAAAACAGTAGCTCTTGACAGAAAGTTAACTGAAGTTCAAGAAAATACAGAGAAGAAAAATACATTCATGTTGTTAAAACAGAACCTTTTGGCAAGCTTCATCAATTCATTGACTACAATGGACAATAAGCTGGTGGAAGAAATTGAGGAGATGAAAGAAAAGCAAAATTCAACAAAAGCAAAAATGTCACTTATTGAATCCAAGGTTAAAAATTTCACTTAGCTAAGTAATTATAATTTATAGTCATTTTCATACCTACACATTATGCTTAATGTAGCTGGAGAGTCGAAATGATGGACGGTAGATTGTTCTTGAATTTTGGGAAACAATGTATAGGTCAATGTAATTTATGGTTACAATAAACCATTAGATTTTATGGGAGCAGCAATTTTATGAAGATAACATGCTATTCAGAATTAAGAGTATGGCTAATCCTAATTGGTCGATATGTGCACCCGTATTTTTATATTATTAGAGACTTCGTGCATTCTGCATTATACCAAAGGCAAAATTATATATTTTCCTTAGCCTAACGGAAATGAGATGTCTTTTCAACACTAAGATCAGGCACGTGTTTTAAGAGAGCAAAATTGATAGGCAAGGGAGATAATTAAAAATTCAGTAAAGAAAAGCAACGGGAATCTATATTATTTGGAACAAGAAAAACAAGATCTTTTTTTTAATTCTAGCAAAGTTGCGTAAAAAACCAAATCACCTTTTTGTTTTAGTCTGTATCTCGAAAAAGGCTATCATTGTCGCCTATGGAGGAATTAATTGTTTATTTCAATCTTAAATTTCAATACAAAATTGGGCATAACGGATCTCTCCCCTCCCGCTTACTTACATTGAAATTAACAAAATCACAGTTATTTTTATATGGGTTATATATAAATCTCTCTTACTCAGGAAATATAAAACAGTAGAAATGATAGCGTTGCCTTTAATCAATACCTCCAAATTGAAAAAAGGGGATCACCAGTATTTATTTTCCTCAAAAAATAAAACTAAAACAAATTGTCAGTCTTAAATCAAAACTATTATCGGCCTTTCATTTATAATTATCGTTAATCGCGAATTTAAGTAGGTTTCCAGTACAAATAAATGCAGAATGTGTTCTAATTTTCTTACCTTATGCACATTTCCAAACTCTGTACGATAAACAGCTTGACAAATTATGCATCATAATTAATGCATTTAAGGAATAATGTCCGAGGGCTTGCAATTATTCTGATTTTACCAACAACTGGCCCTTTATGCTAAAAATTTTACCTCGAGCAATAGTAAAATCAGTATAATTTCAAGGGATTACCTTAGCTGTATTTGTCAAAACTTTTAGGAATTTTTGGTCCTCGATGCTCTTCAATTTCGTACTTTATTAGGCCTTTTGGACATTTTTTGATTCGAGCGTAACTGATGAGGTTTTTTTTTGGTATACGAAACGCACGTCTGGCTCAAATACAACATTTCAATCCTGGTATCTATGATGAGTTTATTTTCTAGCCCTAATGAATTATTTCTATTCTTAAAAGACAAATATGGCAATGTATTTGGATACAAACACTTTAGCTATGAGAAGGCATTTATTTGCTGTTCCTGTCTATTAAGATGACGTTATATACAAAGAAAAAAGAATTATTTATATGCCTAAACTATTGACAATGACAGACATTCAGTTTCATATTTTTGTGCTTTTCCGCGTATAATTCTTATATGCTTACGTCAGCGTTCAATCACACCATTAACACCCATTCATAAAAATCAAACCGATCATCAGACATTATATAAATAACACATGGAGTGTGGTAAGGCAGATTGTTACCCAAAAAAGGTCAAACGAGGCGCAGTAAAGGTTGACAATGTTTTATCTCTAGGTAATAATGTGTTATTTGATTTTTCAAACTGAAAGCATTTTTATAACTGTATATACAAATTTCAAATTCAAAGTAATAATCTATGATGTCTTGTACATAGCAACAACCGTATTTGACAAAGCGCACACTCTATTAATCGTCTCTGTGAAGGATCATTGAGTATCTTCCATATAAAAGAGTAAATAATCATTATTGTATTAACCATTCAAATATTGCAATTTGACATCAAGTAAAAATAAGTAAAACAAAATCATATTTGACCACGTGTTTGTATTTAAAGCCTTTGAAAAATATCAAATATGAGTGAACCGTTTTAATGTCATGACCTAAATATACTCTTAGTTTCTTTTGTATTAATGATTGCTCCCTCACAAAAATGTTTCTTATGGATTCTTCAATAACATTTCCAAAAAAAACCCCCACAAAAACCAGATAAATTCTCACGGGTTCGTTGTGCTAAATTTGTATCTAATTACTAGATACAATTTTCGACGAAAGGTCTTTCTTCCTCACATGCTTTACCTTGTTTACCTTTTTTTTTGCAGACGAAACTGCACATATAGAGGAATCAATCGCGTCTTTATACAATAAAACAGCTGCATTCGATAGCATAATAACAAAACAGAACATGTTTGCAAGCGACATCAATTTGCTGACTACAATGAACAATAAATTGGTGGGAGAAATTGGACAAATGAAAGAAAAACAAAAGGTAATAGAATCAAAAAAGTCAATAATTGAATCCAATGTTAAAAGAACCACTGAGAAGGGTAATTGTGTTTTAGATTTATTTTTATACAAATTATACTTAAGGTAGCTGGTTTGATGAAATGCTGGACCCTATATTTTTTCCTGAAATTTCCGTAAAAGACTTCTGGGTCAATGGACTTTCAATTTATGATACAAATACAGACTGTCTTGGGCGTTTCCGCCCGTTTAAATACATTTAAATTAACGAAATCAACGTTATTTTATATTGGTTTGTATATCATTCTTACTTATTCAGGAATTATTTAACAGTAGAATATGTTGAATTTAAATGAAAGAGTTGCTTTTAATGAACACCTCCGAAATTTGAAATAAAATAGATCACCAGTTTTGTTTTCTTTAAATAATAAAGGAAAGACAAAATGGTCTTTTAAACTCATTATCATTATCCCACCTTCATTTTAGAATGATTCTTTTCTTAACATTTGAAATACTCTTAACGATACTTAATTCTAATTATAGTTTAATCTTTATATTTTATGGATTATATGTTTTATGTTTATTCATAACATTGCATAATACTTGTTATATGTTTTTGTAACTTTGAATTTGTTTTTTTAGTACGTGGTGTTTTTTTTTCGCTTTTTAATTGACTCACATGTACAAGTACAACATCTGTTATGTTGCTTATTATCATTATTTCTTCTTAACAGGTAATACAATGAGAGACTGCAGCGACCTTAACAGAATGATTCAGTAAAGTGGAGTTTATCATATCTACCCTGGTGGATATAAGGTGTACTGTGATATGAAGACCTATGGCGGAGGTTGGACAGTATGTAATTTTATAAGGACAAGATCAAACTGTAATTACTTTGCTTTGATAATCTCTGGGAATCAACTTAAACTAGTGTGACATTTTATGTCTCATGTAGACGTAAACAGTTTGTCTTTATCCTTCGACAAGTCATCAACGAAAACAATTTTGTAAAATTGTAAAATATTCAATCAAAACGTAGATATTAGCAAACATTCGAGTTAGTTATCTGTTATCGATATATGAGCGTTTATTACAGTGCACAATTCAAATCATATATTTAACAGTACTATTCTACATATAAAATCATTTCATTTCTGTATTGTTTCATATACATGTACTACTGGTATTTAAAAAAACTCTATTACTTTTGATAGCATAGTTCATTTGTTATGTTGATAACTATGGATTGTTGACTTTATAATTAGGAAACGAATTGGAAACATTTTTAATGATAATATTTTTAAAAATAAAGAACGGTATATGATCTCCCAAAGGTATTTCAATATCGATCTGGTGGACTGGTTAATTTTCATAACAAACTTTGGAAGGACTACAAAAATGGATTTGGAGAAGTCAGTGGGGAACATTTGCTAGGTAAAGTATGTCATTGTAATGTGCTATGTATTATCCAATTGACTTTTATTCCCTTATGTTATTTTAATGTTGACGTTTTTCGTGGCCTATAACTTCTTATACTGCTAGCGTTCGATTGGCATTTTTTTATGAAAAAAAAATTGGAATAAATACAATATGTTATTAATGTAATATTTAGGATTTTAAATCTTCAAACATTGAAGTTTTTATACTATTTCACGAGATAGGGTTGCTACCACACATGCAGTATTACGTAATGCATAGTATCCCTGTTGTTTTATCTTTTAATGCTATTTCACTGATAACAACTTGCTCTGAAATGAGCGAATCTAACCAAGAAATGTGCAGTAAGCTTTGACTAAAACAAATAATATTAATTAAAAATGTCGAATTTAAATTAAACATCGTTCATTTTAGAAAAAAATAAAACTAAACATGATAATTATTGAGTCAATTTTAAATATCAGTGATTTCGTCTGTTTTAGTTTTAAGTAAGTGTATTTTACTAAAACAATCATGCGATATGTCGAAATGTTGATTTAGCTGTTATTTCGTTGTATGCAATTAAGGATTGTATTTTTTTACTGCTTTTATTGATTTTTTTTAACCGTGTATTTCGATATTCCAATTTATCGGCAAATCAACAAATTGTGTCTTGTCGGTGTCTGAATATGGCTTCTATATGATGCTATCAAATTGATACAATAAAGACATGTTTGTCTTTGCCGATTACGTGACTACTAAGAAATTATACTACATTTTACTTTTCAGCTCACTTGATCTAAATGATTTTAAAAATGTGTCCGATGCCCCGCCTGCCAAACAAGATGGCCGACGTGGCTAAAATAGCATAAAGGGGTAAAATGCAAATAGTGTCTTTTATTTTGAAAACCGTTATAATTTTATTTTTTTTGCGTTTTGCCTTATATGATAAAATTTATGAAAGATGGATATACACTTTAAATCTAGAATCAAGTTTTTCTAAGAAGTCAAATTTTGCCGATACGGTTCTAGAAGACTGTCACTCTTTATAGAAGTGATTGCCCTTAAATGAGTATTTTCCTTTACCCTCTTGAGTGTTATGAGAAAAAATGAAGGAATATAGAGCGAAACTAAACAGGCAAAATGATCAGAGATTTGATCATGAATTCTATTCTTGACTTCATTGTTGGAAAGTTTCCTTAATTGAATATGCATATAGTCCAAGTTGATTAATTTTTGTATGTAAAGCATCGTTGCTCCTTTCATCAAAATCTACAATTGAACACTAAACAAGAGTTAAGATCCACGAAAGATATTGTAAAGTTTTAAAAAAAAAACATTTAAATTTTAAATAAAAAAAAAGTCTTAGAAAAAAGGGTTGGTTGATTGTGCACATACTGTGTGCTGAATTATACATGTTATAGCTATTGCATATACGATCTATAGATAAGATTTTATAACTTATTGCAGAAAGATTTGTAACATAACGAACTATTTTCTTTAAAGAAAGACATAGCTAAAATTGCATAAAGGTAAAATGCAAGTTTTGTCTGTTATTTTGAAAACCGTTATAGAAAAGGAAAATCTGACAAGAGCAGACATATTCACAATGTTGAGCTCTACCAATGGTTAATATACGTCAAAACTAATAGACGACTACTTAGAGGAGATATTATCCTTAAACAAAAATCTTTACATATTTTTTGTCTACTACTTTGAAAATTACAGTAGAAGCTGTGATTTGCATTAATGATCAGCAAGACAAGTTCCACAAATAAATTTACCAAAGTCAAAATTGTCAATTTAAAAAAAAAAAGGTATTGCCATTCGATGACGATTTTCACCATTTTGTTTGCCTTTTATGATAACGTTTATAATAGATAGACACTTTAAATCACAAACATATAAGCAAGTCAATTTCTTCTTACAAGTCAAATGTTGCCAATGCACTTTAAAGGAGTAAAGGAGTGATATCCCTTAAATTAGTATTTTTGCTACCCTCTTGTGTATTTTGAGCAAAAAGATAAAGAGATACTAAATAGGCTAAATGATCAGCAACACACAAACAACAAAACAAGATTGTTCATTCTCGTATACAATGCTTGAGAGTGTCCTTTGTTGAATATGTACATAGAACAAGATGAGTGACACAGGATATGTCGAGCCTCTTGTTAAATTATTGATCGTTTTAAAATCGTATGAATGAGCACTTTTCTACAGCCATAAATCACACCACTGGCTGTTATAATTGATTTTTGAATTGTTAAAACTCTGATGACGGTAGCATATATGAAATTGTGTGCATATTATAAGCGAATTTGCAGACACAATCCTAAGGTTTTCTTTTTTAAATGCGGTCACCATGATTGCAATAGGCCAGCGTTCCTAAAAGAAGTATTAATGTAAATTAATGAAAAAAAAAAAAAATGAAAGGAAAATGACATTGGTAATAATTAAAAAGGTATTGAACTAGTTTTCTTATTTTGTAAAAGGATTTAATTAAGTATGTAACATCACACATTGACATTATTTCAGGGAATGACCGAGTTCATCAATTGACTGGATTGCGAAACAACGTTCTTATGATATATCTGGAAGACTGGGAAGGAAACAGTCGTTACGCTGTTTTCAGTAATTTCTCTGTCGGTGATAAAATCTCAAACTATCGTTTGTCATATAGTGCATATTATGGTTCTGCTGGTATATACTGACATAAGTTAAAAACATATCTTATTATCCAAAAAAGGATTTCAGGATCAGATTAAATTTATCAAAATAGTACTTCCTCGTAATAATGTGCAAATGATTTCACCAATATAGCACAACAAAACATTTGTGAATGGCAATACACTAGTAATAAGCTTAAGACATGCAATTTACCAGTGTTTTAAGTGATGATCGATGATTTTTATAAATCATTTTTAAGTCAAATCATTCTGTCTTACTACATTATGTACTATGTACCTCCGAAAATACCGTGATACCGTGGTCAAAATAAAAAAAAATTAGCTGAGTATAGTGTTAATTTATTCATGCCATTAGGAACTGGATATATGTGAAAATAAAGTAAAAACGTTTAAAAAAAAATTTAGAAACTATTTATATATTTTTTTCGAGCGTTTGGAAGCCTTGATATATTTTTATACATGGTATCAAATAAGTTTTTGATAGATTTTGTTATTTTTTACTACAAGTTCTGACTCCATACATACCAGTGATTTCATAAAAAGATCAACAATTGTGTTTAAAAAAAATATTAAAAAGTATCCATTAGTTTAGTAGTTGTTCATATGCTTTATAAACGATAGTAATTAGAATGATCTGTTGACGCTATGCTCTTAATTACTGAATTTCGTGTGTAATAAAACATTTGCTCCTTTTATCAAATAAAGGCAACAGTAGTATACCGCTGTTCGAAAGTCATAAATCGATTGAGAGAAAACAAATCCAGGTTACAAACTAAAACCGAGGGAAACACATCAACTATAAGAAGAAAACAAACAAAATCGGTATTTGAACTACAAACAAAAAAGATCCTCGAATTTTATTAAGCTTACAGTTTAAGTGTAAGTAAAAAAAGAATCATAGGAAAAATGGTTGGATGATTGGTTGTGCAAATAGTGTTTTGATAAATTATAGCCATCGCAAAGACAATCCATACATAATATTTTATCACTTTTAACAGATGTTTTTGTAACATCACCAATTCTGTTCCTAAAAAAAGAAAGACATGACATCCTTTTTGGCTCTTTTCAATCAGTCTGTAAAGTTTTGCCGTAATGGTAACAGCATTCAAGTAAATACAGAAAAATAACAGGATATACACTTATACACAATTCTGCCATTAAATGATTTTAACCCCCATCCTCTTGTTTCCTCGTAGACAATTTGTTTTATCTCTATTTTTGTTGGACTTACTGCAAAAAGTTGTAAGGTTTAATTTTGTTCAGCAATGACAAAAAAAAAGAATTGTTGAAAATTCAGCTCAGTTCTGAAATTTAAGCATATTTAGTTTCTGTCTGACAAACGTTGGGCAAGTGTAAGACAGTCATTGTATATGTCTATCTATTGCAGAAAATAGTTTGGCAAATAATGTGAAATTTACAACTGCAGACAGACAGAATGATGAACGTTCGCGTGGGAGTAATTGTGCAAATGTATATGGAGGCCCATGGTGGTATGCCAGTAGCTGCGGTTATTCCGATCTTAACGGAGAGTATGTTAATGGTGGTAAAGGTCTTAAACGTGGACATGGCGTTATTTGGCATGGCTGGAAGGGATTCAAATACTCAATGAAAACCAGCAAAATGATGATACGGAAGACATGAAACAATTAAACGTAAATCATTTGTGCTGTTTCACAGTTTCAAATTTACTGTCAGTTGCAAAATACTGGCGTTATAAATAGTCGTTGGACAACATTTAATAAATGATCATGGTGTACATGTATATAACATCAATATATAATATAGCAACCAAATCAGTTAAAACAAAACAGACGATTGTAATAGATTTTGTTTTAGTTACAATGTTAGCAGGTATTTGCAGCGACTCCAAAAATCCTTTAGTTATACTAGTACTTCGAGTAGTTATATTTGGATATTACAATTGAGATTACAAATTCCAGTACGTATATACCTACTTCTTTTATAGACGGCAATTGTCGTGTGTTAACAC